ATAATATAAGATTTTGCCTGAAGAGATCCTTATTCATTATCTTGTTAAAAGGTCGGCTATCCACTCTGCTACTGCTAACACTTGAAGGTACTATTCACCTGTCAGTCTTGGAAGCGCAACTCTGCGTAATGTCTTCACTGCTCCTGATTTATGACAAGTATAATTCTTCGTGTTCAAAGTTTTGACATATAAGAGGTTAACTGAACATAAAATGTGATGCTTTTAAATGAGTTTGAAGTAGGTCATAAGTCACTCGTGCTTTGAAGGATAAAAGAGGTTGACTGAACATAAAATTGATATTTTTATATAAGTTTCAAGCAGATCATTAATCACTCATATTTTATATCTTTGCAAATTAATTGTCATGGTAAATTTTTGTGTTTTTTCTTTGTTACTCTCTTATGTGCCACAAGAACCCTCTGGAAATATTTCCCTATGGTCACCCCCCTCCCCCTTGGAAAATTAGGCAAATTGACCCCCTCCCCCCTGGAAAATCCACTCCCTTCCATGGGGGGGGTATGGATACTTTCTGGAACCGCACAATGTTCAAATGAAAGGTTCAGCTAGATTGAGGATTTCTAGGATGCTGTTTTGTAAAACAACAAGTAAACTTTGTTTTGATAATTGGCCCACTGAGATGTACCTACAACAATAATACAATAATTTACTCCTTTACTGAGTTATGTCTGGCTGGACAGGAAAAATTTGGCAACTCTAAGAAAATATGTATTGAGCACAACAAGGTCAGCATATCCTGAATTCTTCTCTGTCCTGCCCTTCTACTCCATCATGAAAACATAATTAAAATCCTATTTCCTTTTGTCTTTGTTTGTCTAGGATTTCAGTTTGGCTCAACTACTACACCATCAGCTACAAAAGCTGGCACCACAGGGGGCCTTACTTTTGGGGTGACACCTGGGGGCACAGGAGGTCTAACACTGGGTTCAACACCTGCTCCTCAGACAGGGGGATTCACTTTTGTTGCAAGACCAAGTAGTGGTTTTCAGTTTGGTACACCAACAACAACTGCAGCAACTGCCCAACAATCTGGAGGGTTTGCATTTAATGCTGCTTCAACAACTGGAATTTCCTTTGGTATACCTGCCACATCTTCTGGTCAAGCAACTGGAGGTGGTCTTGGGTTAGGAGGAGCAGGTAAGCTTTTCTCTCGGAAAGTAGCAGTGATAAGAACTGCAGGAAGTGGTTGAACATTCTGTAGATGTTGTGATTTGTCAGTGATGAGAAGACTGCCTATTTTCCAAAGCAAAAGATAGGGCAACATCATTGATCTGGGATTTGCATGGGTCCAGGAAACCTAGAAAGTCCTGTAATTGTCTTTTGACATTTTTCTATGAATGGATAGTCCTAGAAAAAAAGACTACAGGTTCTGAAAAGTCCAGGAAATCTGCCAAACTCAAGCAATAAAGTTTCAGAATTTATACTATGAGAAATGTATGTAGACTGCAATGCGAATTGATTTTGAAATCTTCAGAATGAAAGGATTTAAGGTGAAATTTGGAGCCCTGGAAGAATCAATCCGAGTCTTGGAAAGTCCTGGAAAAGTTTTTTAAAATTTGTTCCCAAAAAAGGGTACAGTATGAACTCTGTTGATCTGTAATAGGTGTGGCAGCAATGCTGTTAAACCTAGCCATTAAAATCATTCTCTTTTCTTTACTGGCTTCTGTGCTTTTTCACATCTTGTACTATGTTTCATAGTGTGAAATGTGTATGTGGAACTTTAATTTGTAGTTTCCTGAGGTATTTTTCAACTCAGTATAAATATGTTATGAAGGTTGAAAAGGGATATTGTTTTGTCCTTTCAGGTTCCGGGTTTTCATTCAGCAGCTCTGCACCAGCAGCCACCTCCACAGCAGGGGGCTTCTCACTGGGCATCACATCCACTGCTCCTTCCTTTTCATTCACTGGGGGTCTCGCCTTTAGCAAACCAGCTACCACAAGCACAGGGTTCAGCCTTGGTCAGACCTCAAGCTCAACATTTGCTGGTCAACAAAGTGGCCCTCAACAAAGTGGCCCGCAACAAAGTGGCACTCAACAAAGTGGACTGGTGACAGNGGATAAGCTTACTAAGTGATCAAGGCTAGAGGTCTAGTCTACAGCTTTTGCTTTTGAGGTAAGCTTATCTGCTGTACAAAAGTGTAAATATTTCTATTCCAAAACTGGGAATAAATTCTTTTGTTCTGGAACAATGTAATTGTGCATTTATAATTTGTACTTTTGACTGCCTTCTGATTCTTGATATCATTTTTTTATACATATATATTTTTAGTGGCTTCAGCACCTGGAACCATAGCTAGCACTGCAAGGTGAAGGTTTTGATTTTGATTTTTCTCAACTTTTCAAAAATGATGTGTACAATTTAATGAAGGTTTATTGAATATGATGTAGAACAATCTGTTAAGCATTAACTTTCAGAAGTGATTAAGATGTAACTTCTCCCTGTAGTATCTATACATTATCCAGCAAACAGGTAATGAGAATACTCAAACTTATCAGGTATTAGTTATTAACCTGATCTAACACAAAATTCTAGCAAGGAATTTGCAAGGAAATGTGTAGCAGCTAGAGGAAAGAAATGCCAATCAGATCTCAGGAGTTAAAGGGTTAAAAAGAAAGTTGAGATGTATCTCTCCCCTTAGCTAAGGAATGACAAAAAAGTTCTTGAATTGTTGCAATCCTCGATCCTTAATCCTGCATTCTTTTATTCCCAGTTCCCAGTTCCCAGTTCCCAGTTCCCAGTTCCCAGTTCGCAGTTCTCGATCTCCAATTCTGGATCATCGATTCTCAATAGTTTTGAGGATGGAGGGTCAGGTTTCAAGTTGAGACTGTCATCTTACTTTTGAGCAGTACTGTTACTTCCATGAAACAGCTGCAAGACAAAAATTGCAACAAGAATGAAAGGAACTCTCTCTTTAACCCCTAATTCACTTTATTTAGTTTAGCTTTTCAACTAGATTGTAAAAAATTATTTATATTTTCTCAATAGCTCCTCTGCGGCTGGAGCAGGAGCTCCTAGCAATGTGCCACAGCTGACTTACAAACAGCTTGAAGAACTTATTAACAAGGTAAATGCTGCACTCAACCTTTGTAGATTAGATTGTTTCAATTATGTTGCAATTCATTTCTTTGCGGTCAAATTCCCTCACAGTGATTATAGAATTGATTAATATTTTAATTTCTGTTAGAAAGTAGTATTGTAGCCCAACAAGAAGTTGAAAGGCTTGCTTTTGAACCCTTCTCCCTTTTTTCACGCTTCATTTTCTGCAATTTTATAAATTATACTTTGCCTGCTATTTGCCTTGGACCACAGGAAAAAAAGATAAATTATTTAACATTTATTTAAAGGTGTCCATTGGTTTAAATTTTTTCATATGGAAATGGAACATTTCAGGTTGCAATCTTAAGCCTCTAATACATGGATTTATCACATTTTGCTTGATTTTATTCCATTTGTTTATCAGTAGTATGGTAGTAGTGCTAAGTAATTTAAACCAGATATCTTGATTACTTTTTTTTTTATATATATATATATAATTATTGAAAAATTTTCTTTTTTTAGTGGGCTTTGGAACTAGCAGACTATGAAAAAACATTTCTGGATCAAGCAGCACAAGTGAATTCATGGGATAGGCTTCTCATGGAAAATGGTGAAAAGGTGAAAATGATATACATAGTATTATTACACTACTCGGGCAGTCAGAGGGCCAATAACTAAAATCAACCAATCAAAATGCTCAATTGCCGGTCCAATATTCTCTAAGTATTGGACTGGGCACTGTCCCGAATGGTCACCAATCATGATACCATGTCCCTTTGTACTTCAGTCGTATAATAAATCTCTTATTAACCAAGCTTGCTGGGGACCGTACTGGAAGAATATCGGCCTTCGGTCTTTTTTGTACGGACCTCCCTGCACTCGGTCCATACTGTCAAGACCTCGGGCCGATATTCTCCGAGTACGGGCCTTGCACTTGGTTAATAAGATATATGTCTGTCTCACTATGATTTCACTCTTAGGAAAAATGATGTGATTAGTACAGAATTGCTTTAATGGGCTTGGCATGGGACCTTAGATTTTGAGAACTCTCTGTAACAGACTATGGACGGGCTGTTTCAGTTTGCATGGTACAGTCTGGGTTTGGACCCTGGGTGAATCATTGCATTGTGTTCTTAGTTGAGACACTTAATTCTCATACTGTCTGACCATGCGTCCATCCAGCAAGCTGTCTGGGAAACTCAAAGAAATCCTTGGAATCAATTTGCAGCAAAGTGGCACCCCATCAAAAGGAAGTAGCAAGCATGTCCCAGACTAGAGAAATATGTTTTGCATCTTGACACCAGTGTGGGACAAAGTCCCCATGAGGAATCAAACCTCAGACCTTCAGATTCTGCATTCCGATGCTCTACCACAGAGCCATGGAGACTCTACAATGGGCAAGGCCCATTAACAAATTCGTATATGACATGTTGCCCTGTACATTGCTATGATCAGCAATGTTAATAGCATAAATGTTTTGTGAATAGAATAAGGAAGATGGTAAGTTTTCTTTACCGAGCTCAAAACTTACCTTCTTTCTTATTCTATTTTGAAGACGTGTCTCATGTGCAGTAGTTGTCTGTCTTGTGAACACCGTAAGTGACGATGACTTGATTGTGTATTCAAATGAAAAGTGTCTAACATTTTAGATCACTGAGCTGAATGCTGGTGTGGACAATGTGAAAGCAGAACAAAAAAGGTAAACATTGGCATATGACTTAAGCTTCTCAGTGTTCTCCTTTTGAGAAATACTGCCTGTAGTACCAGGTACCTCTTATTGCTGCCTAAAATTGCTTGTAACTAAAATTTCAACAGGTAATAGGATTACTCTCCCAGTTTCAAAATTTATTACACCTGTCTTGCATAAAATAAGGGAGAACAATGGTTACATGAGCACTGTCTATGGAGTTAGGGTGTTGCAGTATTTAAGCAATGAATAATAGTTTCCACTCATCAGTTGGACAACCAGCAGGAAATTTTTTGCCAACTGATGGGTTAAAATATTATATTCTGGAGGGGCTGTAGGTAGAAACTCCTCAAAATTCTGGCTTTGCTTCAAGGACCCAACTTTTACTTTACTACTTTTCAAAATCTTAAGGGTTTTAACTGAGAATATGGACGGTGGTTCAAAACAAGCCTCTTAGAAATTCTGTCAATAGAGTGCAATTCTTAGTTGTGATGAATTTTCTAAGCATTAATCAGTCATCAGGTAAAGCAGACAGAATTTGTTGAAACCACTTGTGTACAAAATGTATTGCTAGACTAGATCAAGAGTTGGACTTTATTATGGCCCAACAACAAGAACTGGAGGAAATGTTGAAGCCACTGGAAGGTGCAGTGAGTTCTAGCAACAGAGGAGGCAGGCAGCTTCAGCAGGCTGATAAGGAGAGGGACTTTACGTAAGTAGAACACAATCTGTAACAACATTTTCATGGATAATTGTGGTGGAGGTTATGATATGTACTAAATTGAAAGCTGGCAGTTCATCAAGATGTGCTTAGAAAAAAAATTGGAGTCCTAAATGTACAACCACTTTCAGTATGTGATTTGTGTGGGCATTCCCTGAAGGATTGGCATCAATTAGTGACAACATTACCTGTAACTTGTTCCATGCAAATTATTCTCAAACAGGTACAAATTGGCTAAAGATGTTGATGGACAGTTAAAGCAAATGGTGTAGGATCTCAAAGCAATCATTGAACATCTTAACACTGCAAATACTCAGCAACAAGACTCAGATGACCCTGTAAGTGATTGCTGTTTGGCAAAGTCACTGTTGAAAGTTTTAAGAAAACTAATAATTTCACAAACCAGAGAAAATGGGCTGTCCCTACACTCCCTTCTCTTTTGCTGATTTTTTTTCTCTTCTTTTGTGTTTAGATTGCACAGATTGCCAAGATATTAAATGCACACATGAATTCACTACAGTGGATAGATCAAAATTCAGGTGAGCTGCAAAAGGGATTGGGAACTATCCTTCTTAGCATGTACTGGTAATGCCAAGGGGAGGG